CCAGAGCTGTAGGTATTTGGGACTTCAAAAGAACAAGCTGATATTAAAGTCTTACTTGAAACACTTGGGAATAATGGGAAAAATCCAACAGCGCTCAGACAGATCCAGGACTGCTGCTCCAGACCTGTCAGATGCTGCTGACAGCTGCTGGAAGCACATGGAATCTTTTCAAGACAGATCACCTCGAAAGTAATCCTCCCTCAAGAAAGCTGATGATACCCAACAAGCATAAAGCTTTTCCACACTTATGTGGGAAGAAGAGGACTGTGAGGAAAAAACTGCTTGGAAAAGCAGTCATACAGAACGAATGACAGAGTGGTTTAGGTTGGAAGGGACCTTAAAGATCATTTAGTTCCAACCTCCCCTCCATGGATGCTGATCAGACAGAAAAAGTGAGAGAAGACAAATATCACTGTACACACTGATCAGGTATTTTAGACCAAAACTCAAGCCAATGGCCTTGGAAGTGCTCTCCATTCGTGAAGATGCTGGATGCAAGGTAGCAGGCAGGAATGGGACCAGCCTCAGGAATGAGACCTCCCCTGCCAAACTCTCACTGGCACCACAAATGCCAGAGGGAATTCAGATGTCCAGTGCACACATCATTTTTCTGTCACCTGGGTCTGTCTGAGAGCTTGTGAAATAAAAGGGTCTTTCCTGCCTTTCACTGAAAGTTCCTATATACTTAAAAAATTCAGCAGATAATGTGAGTTCTAAACACATCACCAGAACTTGCCTTGTTGGGTAACAAGAGCTCATTTCCTCTCTTGACTTGGGGCCAACAGTTCGTGGGGAAGATGTGCTGGTGTCCACGGAATTCCGTGTGGCTCCCAACATATTTATTCCAAGGCATTTTTCCCTTCACAAAGAGACACTGAAGTGTTGCTGCAAGACTTAAAAAAACCCCTTCCCACAAAGGTTTTATGTGCTACATCTTCCCATAACACGTCCCATGAATGGATATTGGATACAAACCTGTTAAATACACAACAAGTCTCGAGCTGAGTCAGAATTATCACAGCAACAAGTGTCTCCACGACAAAGCTGTGGTTATAATGTTGGTCCTGCTTTTGGAACCTCAGTCTAATTTTCATTCTCTGCAATCAGACAGTTCCTCCATGTTTATTTTGACTGCCAAGCCAGGAAAAAGAAAACCCCCCTCACAGCACAGGGATTAAAACGTGACAGACAGCCAGGGCTGCACACCTTGCACAGGAACAATTTGGTGCACGGTCCAAAGCACCCAACCTGTACTAATCACCTTGAGCTCATTAATTTACAAAGCTCTGGCCCAACTCTAGGGGCTGGCAGATGATCAAGCTCTTAGTGGATGTGATTCAAACTAATCCACTAAAAGGCATTTAAGAGCCAGCGAGGAAATCAGGACTTTTCAATTATTAGAAGTGCTGAAAAGTTTTACTGGCAGCAGACTTTCAAGGTGAGGGGAGAAACCTCAATTCCCACCACCACTGGGTCGCTCAATGGTTCCTCCAGACCCATCAGTGGCATTTCAACAGGCTGGACATGAAGGCAGAGGCTGGGAAATTAGGGAACACACACTGGGAACATCCTCCAACTACCTCAGTTAAGGGAACACTGCAATTTGTATCAGCACCTCGTTAGACACCAAAAATCCCAACCCAAAAAGACCACCAAACCAAAAAATACCCTCACCAAACTTGATAGAAAAAGAAAGAAAAAATCTTTCAGGTGCCCCAATAATGGGGAAAAAATTGAATTACAAACAAGGATAAGACACAAAGTTGTAAGAAAGCAGCTTCCTCAGAACTGGGGCTCAAGGTCTGAATTGTGGGGAATTTGCTGTTAAAACTGGGTCAGACTCAAGGATTTTTTGTTTTACCAGTTCCCCAAAACCAGGGGGCTTGTTGTCTGAACACCAAACTCTATTCCCAAATGAAAGAAACATTCTAGTGTATATAAAATTCTACCTTTGCTAAACAAGCAAATCCAAATTCATTTAACAAATGGTTCAACTCTTGGTTGCCTCAACTGAAATGTGCTCAGTAAAACAGTTCCTCATGAGAACGACACAAAAAACCACGAGAAAGCCTTTTTCCTTTTTGCCACTTGAATATCAGATCTAAAATCCAGTTATACCAAAGCAGAAGCTGTTTAAAATGCCTTTTATGGGGGGAAAGGTAAGAAAATAATTGCATTTATTTTTAGAACCCCACAAAACTGCTTTGTACTCTGTTATATGTTGAAGCAGTGTAGGCTTGGTACTTACAAGCTAAACTCTTGTTGAAAACCACTTAATAGCAAGGAAACTCTCATTCTTACAAAGTAGTTTGTCTGATGCTGACAAAATGGCTTTAAAATCTTTTCAACCCTTGAAGACCAACTAACAAATATATAGATCTATATCTTTATGTACATATTTTATACACTTTAAAATAGATATTTTATATATATTTATATAGGGGTTTTTATATATATATATGGATGCACACACTCATCATTCAGCAGAGACAGGAGGTAAAACAAGGACAACAAGGACACTTAATCTTTTCCTGGGAGTCAATAACATTTTCACTCCCCTCAAACCCCTTCTTGTTGACTCCCTCGGACGCTCAAAACCACCACAATTGTCGCCCACCAAATAAACATTTTGGAATCCCTGGAAAACTGCCCGAAGCCACCACCTCTATCCCAAGGACACAGGTTGAAGTTGGCTCCAAAGGGCGTCTCCCAACCCTTCACTCACCCGTTCCTCCAACGCCGCTCGACGCCGTGGCCGGAGCCGCCGCTCCAGCCCCTCGGATCTCGCTGACAAGGAGCCTCTCTGAGGGCTGGAAGCTCCTTAAGAGCATGAACACATCTCAAGAGATGTATTAACTCTTAATATCTGCAGACTGGCATCTGCTTCCTCGGCAGTTTAGCCCCAAATGTTTGTCTGGGAAGACAAACCGAGTGGGATTTCTACGAAATCCAGCCCTGCGCTGGTTTAGCTTTAGAATCCTGTCCTGCTAACACAAGAATCCCAGGAAAACAAACTGCCTTGGCTAAATATTTATGGTCTGACTTGTTAACATCCACAGAAAAGTCTGGCTGCTAATGACATCCACGAAAACAAAGAGCTCCATAGAGGTAATAAATATAAAATATACAAAAAACCAACTTAAACTCCATTAACTTAAACTCCATTAACTATTTAAACGTACACAATAAAAGAATAAGCCAAATTGGTCATGAAAATACATTCGTGCTCATGTTAAAACTGTGTTTATTTGCCTTGTTCATGACAATTCAAAGGCTCTGTTTTATTTCATGTATTTGGACCTAATCAGATTCACGTGAGGACACTCAAATATCACGAGATGGGTATTTATACAAAAATACAAATCAAGTCTAAACCAACTGCAAGTGGACGTCACAACTATGAAAACAGTCAATTTGGGATGAGATTAAACTGCTGCTCCTTGGGACTGTGGTCAGTGAAAGCCCACGAGACCGTCTGACTTGAGCAACAGAGCGATAACTTAAGATGCTAAAATTTTATCAAGGGCTTCCATTCTTCTGCAGACAAGAGCTATTGTTTGCCCTTACATCAGTGCTGTTTGGGGGAACTGGTCATCCACACATCTGCCCAAATTAGTTTTGATTCAATTATTCAGAAATCACATCTGAGAAGGAACCCGCTGGAATTTACTTCGCTCGTTCCAAAATCACGCACGTGGACGCGAAACAAGGAATTAAAATCTGCAGGAGGAAGTTGGAGCTGGCAAAGAGAAATCCAGCGGTTCAAGTGAAAAATATTCTGGATTGATTGTCCTTCTCCTTCCTAACAACCTTATTTTCAAGTGACTTTATGGCATATCTTTACCTCGTCTTCCAGGGCACAACAGTAGACGCACTTTATTTACTTTAATAATCCATCCTACAGCTGATTAAACTCCAGAAATGAGCAGGTCAGGCCTCTCCCTCCATCAGCCAGACCAAAAAAATTCCTGATTTCTGTAATGGGAGCACGAATCTCGTGGCACAGAAGGACAATGAGCTGCAATCACCGCGGTCCAAGTGCTGGAAAACAGCACGGACTCACACTGAGACGTGATTCCATCTGAAAATCTCTTCATGGATAAAGGAACAGTAACAGTGAAAGGGAACAGGGACTGGAGTTAGTGATTTCCAAGTATTTAGGGAGGAGAATGTAATTAATTAATAAAAAATAAATAGACACTAAGAGAGCAATGGTTCATAATATTTTCTGAAAAAAGATATTTTTGAGGATTTTTTTTTTTTTAAATTGCCCTTGGGCACTTCACAGCCAGATCTAATAAGCTCAAAATCAGACAAGATTCTAATTCAGCCTTCAGCATTTCTGGATACAAAACACCAGGAAAACACCCTGTTTGCCCTAATTCCAGCTTCCCAGAGTCATTTTACTCACTGCACCATAACTAATTCCTGAATCTGAATAATTCGATCTGATAATCAATTTACACACTTTTCTTTCTGGCAGCACATGGAAACACCCTCCACAGCCCAAACCCCGGGAATTTTGCAACCTGCCCGGTGCTGAAATGTTTCCATGCCCGTTTTGCCAGGCAAATACCTTCTGTATCCACAGGGATCATCCCACTGGGAGCCAGTCACCTGCCTGCAAGTCATAATTGGTCTGCACCCCAGCTAAGGAGATGAAAGCAGAGACACACAAAAGCAGAGGGGTTGACTGATATGAAGTAATTGCAGGCACAATTTGATGACAGTAATTTATGTAATTCTACGAAAGGCACTCGTGGAGGAAGACAATTAAAAGGCAGATGAACCGCTCAGAATTTAAATAGAATGCACGAATTCTATATACTCATAAATAGTTTGTATAAATGAGACACGTAAAAGGGTAAAAGATATAATAAATTTTAATTATAATCGAGTTAATTCCTCCCATTAATTCCTGTCATTTTTAGCATATATAGGATATTCAACTATTTATATCAATTTTTAAAAATATTTATATAAAACTAGGCAAAGCTTACTCAGAAACACACCCCGATGGAGGAGCAGATGGGATGTTTTATGTCCTCACCCAAAGCACTTCCCAATCTTTAACTTTGAGGCTCCCAGGGAGGATTTTCCAAGTATTCCAGCAAAGCCAAGTCCCGGCACGAGGCGCAGCTCCCGCCGTGCATCTGCAGCGTCCCTCGGGAGAGAGCCCCAGTCTTAATGCCCTGGCACTGCTGCCACCCAATAAAGGGGAATATTGTGGATTCAGAGGGAATCATGCACCGCCGGAGAAGGGTCTGAGCCGGGATCACGTAGGCACAAAGCTGGGCAATGCACAAATTGTGACACCATTTATACGGGATTTTTCCCTTTTTTAACCCGTGCCAAGTGATAACTGGGATAAGACACAAGTTTTTTAAGAGAGCAGCTTCCTCAGAACTGGGTCTCCTCGGAGCCAGGCACATTGTGGGGAATTTGTTGTTAAAACTGGGTCAGACTCAAGGATTTTTATTTTACCAGCTCCCCAAAACCAGGGGCTTGTTGTCTGAACACCAAACTCTATTCCCAGATTTTAGTGTATATAAAATTCTACCTTTGCTAAGCAGGTAAACCCTAATTCGTTTAACAAGTGGTTCAACTCTTGGTTGCCTCAACTGAAATGTGCTCAGTAAAAGCAGTTCCTCATGAGAACCACACTCTGAGAACAAAAAACAATGACAAAGCCTTTTGCCTTCCTGTCACCTGAATATCAGATCTAAAATCCACTTATACCAAAGTAGAAGCTGTTTAAAATGTCTTTTATCTGGGAAAAAAAAAACCACAAGAAAATAATTGCATTTATTTTAGAACCCCACAAAATCATGGGTTTGTTTGGCATGCAAAATTCAATATTTAAGGAGTTAACAATGATATATTTCCTGTGATGGAGCAGTGCTGCCTGCAGATCTCCATCCCTACCGTGGAAACCATCAGAATTTCCACAGTAAATTCAGGAAAACTCTGCCAAAGACAACAAAGTCCTGCGGACACACAACAGGCCAAACACTGGGACCGACGGAAAACGATGATTGTTTCTGGGAACATATGGTGACTGAGGGATAAGAACCACGCTCCTCTCTCAGTAGGTCACACCACACAACAAAGAACACCCCAGGGGGAAAATGGGCATCTAAGGTCTACCCCAGACATTGTAACACTTGGCAGCACGGAAAACCACGAGGAATTATCCACTTTATCACAGAAAGAAGGATTTTGGATGAGTGTTGTCGTTTGAACTGACCCGTCCTCTGAAAAAAATCACGGAATCCAAAATAATTTAAAAAATAAATGACATAAGCATGAGATATATTTGTAGTTTTGTCCTTCCTCACCAATTACATCACAAGAAGGTACTGCCTAATGTAAAAATCTATCCAGAGTACCAAAGAACCAGCAGAAATTCCACTTTCCCACTGACTTTGTGCCGTTGTCACTCAGTAAACCTCTTCCTGCCCCATCAGCAACCAGGACACGCCACCTTTTACCCAGGGACCACGTCGGTCGCCCCAGGATTAAAATAACAGTTTGTTTTTCGAGGCAAATGAGTCCATTTTAACTAAATAGGTCTCATTGAGCCCTATGGGACCAAACTATCAGGCTCCCCAAGATACTCCACCCTCCCCTGCGGAGTTTGCTTGGCCCAAGCGCGGCCGTTGTATCACTTGACCCCGTTGACTCGCTCTGCCCGTTCCATCACATCAGTTTGACAGACACAAGGTGCAACCTGGGAGCCAGGAAAAGGAGAGGGGGTTATAACTTACTGCCCTCAGGTCCAAAGGGGGGTGAACGACATCCTGAAGGACGCGCAGCGATTATTTTAAACTCTTTTGTTGCCGATCGATCCGGTTCCTAACTGGGTAAATCATGAGATCCGGGCTTGGGTTCCCACCCCTACTCATGAGCAGAACTGAAAGAAAATAATTTATTCTATTTCCAAACTCCATTGTAACTTAAACTTTGCCTTTTACACCAGAGAATCGGAGGAAATCAGACTCACGATCAGACACGCGGATGCCAAATAATTAAACCGGCAGATCGCTGACGCATAAATAAAGTTTTAGATTTACAGCGAACAAATCTTCTACTGTAACACGGCCAGGATGGCTTTTCACGTGTTTTTATGTCAGCACCAGCCTAAAAAACCTCCAGTGGAAACTGGAAGGGTCGGATTCCCTCCCTGCTGGCACCTCCCGGGGCTGTCCGGAGGCAGCAGGGTTAGACCCAAGGGCGAGCCCCATTAAAAGCCTGTCCTGGGTGTTTGCATAACTAATCAGTGGAGTGTTGGGAATCATTTTAGCTGGGCAGTGCTAATGAGCTAAATCACTGTGCCCCTTTTGGTGATCACCCACCTGGGAGTGTTTCACCCATGGTTTATTTTCACCTCGTTCCACGGCCCAGCGGAGAAACCTCGTCCTGACACCCCCTCACTCCCAGTGTTGGACACTGAAAGCTCATCCCTAACCACAGCCAGAGCAGGAATATTTGAGTTTCCATTCCACCTGTCCTTCCTTGAGCACTCATTACACAAAGGATGGCAGTGTTCCCACACCAGGAAACCAAACTCACACATCTGACATCCAAAGGCCGTGGAGCGGGATCGGGATGCGGAGCCAGCTCGACCTCCTGCCACCCCTGGCCCCAAGCTCTGACCCATCCAGATACTCCTATCTCGGTGCCAAACAGCATTTCCACGGCAATAAAAGCAGGGAAAAATTCACCAGAGGTTGTTCTGAAAGTGGGGATTTCCACCCCGTTCACGTTGGGATCTGCCTTAGTTACAATAATTTCCACACGACAAAATCTCTGACGCAACATAATAATTTTTTTTTAATAAAAAATACATATATTTTGCCAGTTCTGCCCATTGGAAATTCACAATCCATGATAAGCATCAGCCCTGTCTGGTTTGGCCTGCCAATGAATCTTAAAGGGATAAAAAAAAACTAATCACAGCCTTTCTGTGCAGTCTGATGCTGAAAAAATCAACCAACACACACCTGACAACGTACTGTATTACACACAAGGGATATTCCTGCAGGTAATCCCACAATTTGGGCAGGTTTCCATATCTATTGCCACATAAAAATTTACAAAATACAACAGAAATCACGTGGGTTTATGAAAAATTGTAGAGCTTACTGTACTGGCAAGTGATGTAACTGAGTGTTTAGCTACAGAATGTAATTATAATTAAGAAATGGTTAATGTTCCCTCCAAAAAAAAAAAAAGTATATTTTAGCCAGAAAGAGCGCAGACACCGGCTACAATTGGAAACACAACTATTTATCCACGAAATTAATTTAATTTTTGATTTAATTGAGTGCAAGGCTAGGCTGGATGGGGCTTTGAGCAACGTGATCTGGTGGAAGGTTTCCCTGCTCATGGCAGGGAGATGGAATGAAATGAGCTTTAAGGTCCCTTCCAACCCAAACCATTCCATGATTTTTTACAGAGTGATGTTTTTTAATTAACAGGGAAGCTCGGGAAGCCCTTTTTGCAGCAGTGCCATTTCTCTTTTACAGATTCACAACACGTACAATTATTCCATTTGCTTTGACTCGGGAAACCATTTGTGAAGAACTACATTTCCAGGAGCAGGCTTCCAAAAATAAAAATAAAATAAAAATAAGAATCGCACTCAGAGTCTGCTGCCAAACGCTGGGAGCGGGGCAGGACCAGCCCCGGGAGCGCCTCCAGCACCCGGAGAACCCGCTCCTGTGTTTGGGACCCCCCAAACCAGTGACTCTGGGGGGAGAAGAGGGACATTTGGAGGGGAAGGAGGGTTTCAACCCCCGGGGGGCTCGGCTGGAAACCCCTGAAAGCCCCCAAACCCGCTCGCAAAGGCGGGGTCGGTTCTGCTCCAAGAACGGAGCGATGGTCCATAAATCCAGCTGGAATCAACTGTCCGAGGGCTGAACGAGCTGAAAAAGGGCATTTTCCCTTTAACCCGACACAGACACGGTTTGTTTTCCTAAGCACGTGTCAAGCCGAGTGACTTTCCGAGTAAAAAAAGTGGCTTTTTTTTCGCCATAACAATAGAGAAAACAATAGAGAAACAATAGAGGACAATAGAGAAGCAACGGAGAAAACAAGAGAGAAAAATAGAGAAAACAATAAAGAAAAGGGTTAGAGGGAAGGGTTATGTACCTTTCCAGCACGTATTTTCCAGCCGGTCGTTCAGGGAATTTCCATCGCGCCCTCGGCGGCCGGGGGACCCCGGGAGCCAGGAATGCGGGATTCGGGGATGCGGGACCCAGGGATGCGGGAGCCGGGGCTGCAGGCTGGGCTCGGCTCCCTCCCGGGGCCGGCTCATGGAGCACTCTCCTGCGCTGGGAAGGGAAGATTAGGATCTCCGGCGGGCAGGGATTGTGCTGAGCTCTAGCTTTCCTTCATGCTTCATTAAAAATTAGATGCCGCATTATTTCAAGCGTTTATATGCACATCGAACAATTAGGTTGTTATCCTGCTCTCTTACACAAGCCGTCCTTGTTCCAGGGGGGGGCGAAGGGGGGAGAGGAGGAAAAAAAAAAAAATCTATGGATAAACATGAATTCAAAAGCGAAGGGAATTAGCAGCCGAAAGGGAGAGGAATCGTATCCTGAGCAGCAAAGAGCGACCCAAGCACCTCAAACACGAACCACGAGCACTCCTGGCTCCGGGGTTACCTTATTCCCAGCAGCTTTCCCGCTCGGCGGGGCTGATGCCGCTCTTCCCGAGGGTCACCGGCGAGCGAGTTCCAACTCCTTGCTCCAGCTGGGAGTGTCTTTCCAGCGATGAATCACTCCGGTTTATCCCGGCATAATGTTACAGAACGCTTTAGCCAAGCAAAACTGCGCGTACGAGGCTGCAGGTTTTCATCTCCTGCCAGTTTCCAGCGGGTTTTGTTATCGTTTAAAGGGCCGTAATTAGGTTTATCACAGCGCAGTCACGGCTGCGTCTCGGCAGACTGAGCACAAATACCTCCGTGTATTTAGAGAACATGACATCACATTTTAGCTCACTTAAGTGGCTTTTAGATAACAAGCGATACCTCCCCCCCCAGTCCCTGCGACTGCCGAGATTAGATAAAATATTGAAGAAGAGCCGTTTGTTTCGCACGTCCCGAAGTTTTAACAGCGCAATTTAAATCATTTCGGGTCGTTAATTAGTCATGCAGAAAGTATTCAAAACAGTCTAAGCAAGGATTCATAAAAAAAAAAGCATTACTATTAAATCAGCTCTGGCTGCCAGTTGGAAGCTGCTAATAAAGGCAGGAA